ACTCGGGCGTCACGACGACGAACGCGTCGCTTTCCGTAAACTTGGCGTGGAGCTCGACAAGCGCCGGCGACCGGTCGGCTTCCGGGATGTAGTCGAAGCGCGTGCCAAAGAGCGGCACGTCGAGCGCGACGGGGTCGATGAGGTGCACCTTGGCACCGAGGGCTTCAAGCTGGGCCTGGACGTAGCTGCCGGCGCGGACGCCTTGGCGACCGGGGCGAACCGAGCCGAGGATGACAGAGACAGTGATGGCCATGGTGGCGAGTTGGGTGGGAGCGGGAGAAATGAAAAGTGAGTGAGCTGGTCGAGATCTACGGCTGAGCGGTCGCCGACCGCCCTGGCTTGGCCGATGCCTTGGCTGGTATCAAGGCTCTAGGTTTAGGGGTCGGACCACTTGAACTGTAAACTCTACTAGTATTTACATGTTCATGAACTTGTCGACTGCCAGCGCAATCCTTGCGTCCATATACACGCTCGGAAAAAGTTCCTCTGATCTGACGGTCCACAAACCATCAACTGCTTTATAGTCTGTACCAATGGATAACCAGTCGAACGGCTGAGTACCGGTATAGCTCCGTTGGCAGAGAGGTTGGCTCTAGTTGGGTACATGCGTTCGAGACCTTGGTCGTACCTTTGTGGCATATCCTATTGGTGTAGTACGCGGCCTTGAAGCCGCATGTACTGCAACTATCAGTGTATCAAGTGGGCGTCATTCCTTCTGGTTTCGATGCTCCAGCGCGATACGACGCACGCGCGAGACCTTGGCCAAAACCGCTGGGTGGCGACTTTAACTTCTGGCAAGCCAAGCTACCATCAGTCTGGCGTGTATGGTATCCGTGTTGAGATAGATTGATGCACACTGGACTTGTTTCGAAGCACCTTAAGAGTTAGTAGTCTCTGCACGGTCGACTGGTAAACAAGTCACACGTGGTACCGGCATAAGCCATCGTCAATCGACAAGACAATGGCAGCACAGAATTCGCACCCTCAAGGATGCTGACGCTGGGCGTGTCACGGAAATGGAGCATGTGTCAGAGCCGCGTCATGTTAGCATATTAGGGGGCGTTTGAAGCAGCCGATTCGTCGATATCACATTGGTCATTGATGCAATCGGAGCAAGTCGCAGTTGCCAATAGTAGCGGCCGTCAATGCGTTGGCTACCGCTGTCTACTGTCGATATAATGTACTAGTAGTTTGTCTTTAGTATCTCGTGCGACCGGATTGCTATACCGTGCGAGTCGGAGATGGGCTTTCGAATTTTGGCGGCCATGGCCAAGGTTAAAATCACCCAACATCAACGCGGGTTGTGTCGCGACAACGGGGCTGACCCGGTTGTTGTAGAGACGTGCAGGGCTGTATGCAGCGAATGCAGTTTTATTGATGTCGGTATTAGGTTCAAACACGGATACATGGTCGCGGTTTGTCGCTCCTGCGATCCGACACATCGGCAAAATCGGTTTATCGCAAAACCCTCCTCTGTACATGGGGCTATTCGAGCATCGAGTTTTCTGGGCGCAACCGGCGTCAGTAGTTGTCGTCGGTGCGAGCAGACACAAGACAGTCCAGTGCGCCTGTCGTCTCCATACCGTCGGGAAAATAGATTAATATAAAACTAAAAAGCAAAAATTCAACGCCTTGCCTACGTCGCCCAGAGGAGGTCGTGTCTATGCCGGTTTTTATTCTTGTAGTACAATATACATTGCCGATGCACGTCCATCGTAATCGAGCGTGGCGTGATTTTTAAAGACCATCGCGGCCAAAACTGCGTGTTTTTAGCATTGGCTGATCCCCGCGTCCAGACGGGTTGAAGGCACAGTTTTGATATCTTCCTGCAGCACAACAACCATGTCCTCGCTGCCACTACCACGAGGGTACTTTCGCTGCCCGCCCTTGTCACCGGTCGAAGTCGACGACCTCCTCGCTACCGCGTCCACAGCCTGTGACGACACGCTTCGCAATGCACTGTCGATGGCCGCGACGACGCCGACACGCGTGCTCCGGCACCCGCGCACCCAGCGCTACGCCACGGTACTGACATCTTTTCCCCAGCTTATGTAATAGAATATGGTGTCTTTAGATTTACCATGGACCTGACGTTGTCGAGCCAGCTGTTCGTGGCACCACCGGCGTCACGCAGGTCGAGGCGACCCGCGACGACCTCATCTCATTTTTTGATCTAACGTCGCCCCAGCAGCTCCGCACGTACAGCAAGGTCCTGGCCTTGTCCACACTGGATCGGTGTGCGCTGTACACTCTTGTCGAGCAAGGAAGCGACCTTGTGTACGCGGGCGTGCATTGGGCGGCGATCGAGTTGCCAGCGATGCTGACGAACCGTGACGCGTGCT